AAAGAAAGAAATAAGGACCAGATGTAAAGAGCGATCCTGGTGCCTAGGGAAAGTGAAGTCATCTGAATCAAGCAAGCAGTTCATGTTGTGTATTTGTGACCAGCACACCATGCTATTGTCGATGCTAAGAAAAGAGGATATGGGGAGAACTAGCACGGGGTGAGGTGCCAGGGAGCCGGGCTGTTACCATAGCTCAGAGCCTTGTCACACCAACAAGAAGAGCAGAACTAGACAGCAGTGCCAGGACCTAAACATAAAACACAGCATAAAAGTAAAAAGATGAAATTCAGAAGGCTCCTGTGCCTGCCTGTGGCCCTCTTACAACCCTCCAGGACTCTGATAAAGACCAAAGCAAATCTCATCCAGGGCAGAGGACAGATTTCGTAAGTGCTTTTCCCCTAAAAACATTGCTTCAATCTGCTCATCTTCGTTTACTGGCTCCCCTGCTTTCTGAGCTAACAGCGATCTTCTCGGAAACCCATTGGGCACCTAAGACTTGAGCCCAGGACATACTGTGCCATGGTGGCCCCAGGACAAACACATGGTGTCCCAGGGGTTCCTCCACGCTGGCACAAGAGCTCTGCCCTCACGGGATTCAGAGACCTCCCTCCCTCTCATCCCTGTCCTTGTTCCCCTTCAGTCCATCCTCTGGCTGTGACTCCCAAAAGAGAGGATCAGAGAGGCTAGGTGCCTCTCAGAATGAAGAAATGCCAAGGAACCAAGGATGGGTGGCACCACAAGGACACAAAAGCCTGTGACCAATGACCAAGTCATCTGTGCCACCAATGATAGCAGATTCTTCTCCCAGATCTTGACACATGAATGACACAGGAATCCCGGAGTCCGCATGGATGTAATTACACAAGGGCAGGAAATGAAGGCTCATAAACAGCAGGTGACTGTGTGACCATGGAACGCCTCCCGCAAAAGCCGGTGGTCACCGAGGGGAAGGAGGGAGACTCACAGAGGAGGAGCCTGACCCACACACCAAGAAAGGAATCTCAGAAACCTGGCAAGATGCCCCAGGGAGCCTCGTATCTTTTCTGGGCTATTCCAGCCAGACACACAACCCACCAGACACACCCACAGCCAGGGGCACAGGCCAAGTCACTAGCCCACCTCCAAGTGTCAGAGCCCAGAAAGCAAGGGCAGGATGGGAACAGATCCAGCAGGGCAGCAACGCCAGAGAGCAGGCGTCCAGGGGCAGTCTTGGTTCCTGGGCTGGGTTCTCCTTCCATGAAGGACATGACTGGGACAAACGGAGATCCCCAGCAGGCCTGGGAATGGGCTGGTGACAATGAATCACCATGAGTCCCTTGATTCTGATACTTGGAAAACAGTGCGGTAAACGTAATGCCCTTGATGGTGTGAGGTACACACTGAGGTATTTGGGCATAATAAGGCGCCCGGTCAGAAAACTCTGCTCGAAATGGTTCAGGACAAAGCCAGCTCCTTGCACTATGCCTGCGACTTTCTGTGAGTCTGAAATCACTTCAGAATTTCTCAAGCACCGTCTGTCTTCCTGAAGTCACAGTCAGGGCAGTTCCTTCAAGTGCACAGTAACCTGAAAAGAATTTCAGGCCAGTGCTCCTCCTCTACCAGGGCTAGCTCCCCCGGGCGCCTGGGACAATGCCTGAGTCCATCGTCATGGCTGGGGCAGAGGCGCTACTGGTGTTCAGTGGCTGACCATCCCCCAGTACATGGAGAGAAGGATCCCCACGGCCAAGAATGATGGTGGGAAGGGTCCCACCCACCAACACTGCTGAGGGGAAGAAACGTTTTTCCAAACATGTCGATGATAGTTATAGCAAATTCCTGTTGGCTAAGCAGGAGGCCTTCATAAGGCGTCTTCAGCTTCCCGGATCTCAGGCTGCTTTGCTGTGACAGGCAGATGGAAGTGTGTCAGGAGTACAGTGAGATCACATGTGTGCCACCAAGGACACATGAGGAGCAGTCTGCTCGGGAGATGGTGCTGAGTGTGCAGCCACACCTGCACAGATGCCAGACCCCTGAACCAGGTAGGGCACAAGGGTCTCCTCACAGAGGTCCCGGATGTGTCCGTCCCGGTCATCCTTAGCCTCTCAGAGCTGCTAGTCTGAAAGCCTGGGACACGCTCTGGGCCCCGCGTGTGAGCTCCGCCTGCTTCCCTTTCCTCAGGGCTCCCGCCTGAGACCCACCGGGACCCCCCGAAGCTGAAGGCAGAAATGGCCTGCAACAGAATGTCCATCTCGGCCTCCGCACCTTTGGAGTTCTGAGCGCTTTAGGGGAAGGTGCTTCTCTGTCTTTTGCTAAGAAAACTGTTCTCACGAAGGTCAAAAGAAAAAAACAACCTGACGGCAATGGAAACTCTAATACTAGAAAAATGTCAAGAAAACAAATGTCGGTTTTAATGAGACATGTGGCCTGACAGCTCATGGAAACAGGCTTGAAACCATCAAAACACAGCCCCTCCTCACCTAGGGAACTCAGGGCTCGCTTGTGAAATTCGTCAACCTCAAAACACCCCTCCGTGGACTGGGGTTTCGAGCACAAGTCAACAGTCAGTAGGACGAGGGGATGGGCTGAGCCCACTACAAGCTGGGACAGCAGCCGGGCCAGCCTCCCTGGGGATGGTGCCTGGGCCGACAGCTTCCGGGCTGTGTGGCCTGGCTGCTGTCCACTCACTGAGCTGCTCTGCTCCCTCCAAGGAATGACCCACCCCACATGACAGCTTCCTGCTGTCACCTGCTGGCCCAGCACACAGTGGTGTCCTATGTGCCAGGCAGCTCCCGCCCTGCCTGGAAGCAGAGCCCCTCAGCTGGAGACCCTCACCCACCTGGGTGTGGGGGGGAGGGCAGGGCAGGAGACAGCCAGCAGGCTGGCCAGAGGTCAGTGATGACAAGACCCGGGAGGAGTCCATGGGCATGAGCGAACCGCAGCCCAGGTCCTGAGCGCCACAGCCCCAAGGGGACTCATCCCCAAGTGACTTTCCTGAGCAGCTCTCACTCCTCAAGACCCAGAGGCCTGAGCAGCCCCCCAAGGCCAGGTAGTGGATCCTAAGCAGCAGAGCTGGGATCCTGGGCCGTCATTCCACCCCTTGACTCCTCCTTCAAACAGCAGAAGGAAGGAAGGGAGGAGAGAGAACTAAAGGAGGGAAGGAGAAAGGGAGAGGTGAACAGGCAGGGAGGGGAGGCGCTCAGGCTGCACCCACCCGGGGACCATGGTACAAGAAGGCAGGACTGCCAGGCATGGTGGTGCACTTGGGAGGCTGAAGCAGGAGGATCACTACAAGTTCAAAGCCAGCCTGGGCTACAAAGAGAGATCAAGGCCAGCCTGAACTGCATAATGAGACCCTGCCTCAAAAAAAACAAAAACAAAAACAAAAACAAAAAACAGAGGACAGCTCCCTCCCACACATGCGCCCTGCAGTGGAGGCCGGAGCTGGAGCAGAAAGAGGAGTAGCCTACAGGGGCCGGAGGGGGTGCCAGCGAGAGCTCGTCTCCAGGGCAGCCTCTGGACATCCAGCACCCCAGACACCCGGCACTTACCCGCAGGCTCCACCTTGGGCCGGAAGGTCTGGGTCGGGTAGCACAGGTGCAGCTCTGTAATGGCACAGGGCAGGCTGGGGTGCTACTCTGACCCGGGCCATGGAGCGTCCATCCCCCCAGGGTCCAGGCCCCAGCCACTCACTCTGGCCAATCCGTGCCCGGCAGGCCCTTCGGTAGCACAGGAGGAAGGAGCCGGAGCCCAGCACCACCGCCAGCACCACGATCACCCAGAAGACAACAGGTCCTGGAACACAGGGGTGCCCACGGCATCGGGGCGGAAGCCATGTTGCAACCACACAGGACAGCCCTGGCCGCAGACTGCTTCCTCCTGGTTGCCTGAGCTAGCCCTTCCCTGCCTGTCTTCCCTCACCTGGCTCCAGGACACTGGTCAGCTACTTACAGTTGCAAGAAGCACAAACCGTTTTAATTTAAGAGGCTGAAAAACTGGAGTGTGGAGAAATGCAGAGGGAACTGAGATTCCAAAGAACAAAGTTTGAGAACTGTGGGGCAGGAACTACCGCCACCTAGTGTTGACAACCAGAACTGCCAGTCAGTACCGTTTCTTTAGCTTTATAGAAACTGTTCAAGCCGGCTACGCGTTGCACTCGCATTTGAAAACAGTGAGGCTCAAAGGAATCAAGCAGCTAGAAATCAGTGCCAAGATCCTGGGTTCAATCTCATGGTAAGGAAAACATGTGAAAAATTCCTGCTCACAAAGATGGAATAGTCACTAGCAAGTGACAGGGAAGCCAGGAGCCTGGGGTCAACCTTGCCCCACCTCCATCCCCACCCCAGGCCACACCCACAGACAGGTCGGACTGAGCAAGGGTTACCTGGGTCCAGAATGGGCTTCCCTGTGGAGGAGAGGGAGACGGGGGCGCTGGTGGAGACAGGCAGCCTGTGGTTGGTTGGGGAGCCCACCAGGGGGCTCAGGGTGGGGTCCGTGCTGCAGGGAAAAGCAAAGGGCAGGGGCCAATGGTGACGGAGAAGGGGGACCATGGCTGGGAAGAGTTCTTTCCCCAGAGAGGGCATTGGCACAGCAAGGGCCCCATAACCTCTGCCCCAGACCTACCAGGCAGTGCCAGGGCAGGGCTGAACCCCTAGGCCTTCTGCCAATGCCGCCCCAGACACACATTCCCCAAGGTGACCTGGGGCTTGGTGCAGAAGGCCCCACCAGCTGCCCTCGCACCCTCACCCTCAACCCTGGGTATGTGGGAGAGAAAGGGTAGAGTCACCTGGCAGGAGCCTCGCTGCCCACTGGGGGGCTGCAATCAGGATGGGTCTCCAGAGGAGGTGCCTCGAAGGTGGGGTCCCCAGGAACACCTGCAGGGGGTGTTGACATCCTAGAATCAGTGCCAAGGAGCAGAGCTCCCCAAGAGACCTTGAAGGGGCAGCTGCCTCACAGGGACGCAGCCCCGAGGGCAAGCGTGCATCCTGAGTCCTGCTCCCACTGGACACCCACCTAGACAGTCAAGAAGCTATGATACTCAGGAAGGTGACCCCAGAGCACCCCAGAGTGCTAGGCCTTTTTGTCCTCCTTCTACTACTGAATTGAGTCAGGGCCTTTGCCCTGGATTACATCCTCAGCCCCTAGTTTTTGTTTTTTTGTTTGTTTGAGACAGATCTCATTAAATTGCCCAGGCTGGGACTTGAACTTGCAATCCTCCTACCTCAGCCTCCCAAGTGCTTGGGATTACAGGCCTGTGCCACTACACCCAGCTGGCTTTCTGATTTTACTTAAGAGAAACCTAAAATCTAGTGTTTAAATGTAGCCTCAAGTTTCTTTTGCTTTGAACCTGTGGGGATCCTCCTGCCTCTGCCTCCCAGATTCTGTGACATTGGGGTTACAGATGTGCACCCAATGTGCACGCAGCTTCAAGTTAGCACGTGACACGTGCTTGGAAGGCCGAGTGAGAGGACAGGGAGCTCTTGGTGAAATCACACTCCGGTTAATACACTGAGAGGCCGCCTGCCTTCTCCAGGCCAGCTGGGGTAACCGGAGGGGCCCAGGGTCTAAGCTCTCAGGTATCAAAGCCCCTGCCCCTCCTCTTAGTGCAGAAGGCAGGTGCCACACTCCCTGGATGCCTCTCCTCCCCTTCTGGAGCTGTCCCACCTCACTGAGACCGCCAAGATGTGAGTCTGAGGCCCAGTCTACCCTGAGGGAGGGAATTCAGTGGAAGAGAGAGAGAAAGCAAAGAAACTTCCTACTCTTAGTCCTTTTCATGGGGGGGGGACTATTTTTTACCAGACAGATATACTTCTCTTGGATCCAATATTTGATCCTCCTTGATCCATTAAAAATGGTCTTAATATAGATTCCCTTTTGCACATCCAGCCTTTGCTTAAAATCGGGGAAATTTCCACCTTTGATTTGAGTGATACACTTCTGCTTACCACCAGGTATGGTGGTGCACACCAGTAATCCCAGTTACTTAGGAGGCTGAGGCAGGAGAATCACATGTTCAAGGCTAGCCAGGATAATTTAGTGAGATCTTTTCTCAAATTTTTAATAAAAGGGCTGGGAATGTAACTCTGTGTTCCCTGGGTTCATCTTTGTGTGTGTGTGTGTGTGTGCG